GCTGACATCTTCACTAAGGCAGCAAGCAGCAAGGTCTGTGAGTTCATTCATCCTAAGCTTGGACTCATAGACCTTTCATGTCACTAATCCCCTCTCCATGAAGTGTTCTACTCTTTCCTTGCTTAGCTTTTATCCCAATGGGTTTTGCTGAGTAAGGTTTTAATGAGGGAATGCTTCATGGTACTCCAAGCTTAACATAATATCTATTGTCAAGCTTGAGGGGGAGTGTGAACATGAAGCAATAAAAAGGACTAGAGGAGAATAATTATTCGAATGGTGAAGGTTACAATTGGTTTGAGAAGGTTACAATTGGTTTAAAGAGGAGAAGACCGTTGGGGGTTCTGGACAAAGCAGGTGCAAGTGGGTTGAGTTTTATATATTAAATCTCATGTCCTTGTAAGCATGATTTGACTTTAAATACATGATTTGACTTTAAATACATGTTGTAAGCAACCTAAAAAATAAAGGAAACTGTTTTCCTCAGAATTAAATTCTCTTGTGTAACTCTCTCTCTCCTCTCTTCTCTTTCTCACGAAAATACTACCTTCTCTCCTCTGTTCTTGTTGTTCTTCCTTCTTCTCAAACAAACCAGTCTCTAAATACTCACATTTCAACATATAGCCTTTAAAAGACATTTATTATTAACATAAATTATCAACAAGATAACCTAAAACATGACCCATTAACAATTAGAATAAATCTAAAGAACCATACAATGAAAATGTTAAAGAGTTAAAGACAAGTTCCTTAACTTATGTTCCTCCCTTATGTACAACCCTTCCCAAAGTCTTATAAACACAACAAACTAAAACGCAATTTTCTTGCGTTTGACATTCCTGCCAACAAACCGCTAACTGAGATCAATACCTACTTTTTCAGGTACACACCTTTCTGTCTGGTCACGACCAAGCTCTGCTCCAAGCTGACCTTTATCACCCGCACCAAACGCGAACAACTTCCCTGATTCCGTGAGCGCAAAGGTATGAGCGTTCCAATATATAGAGTTCGTTAAACTAATCTGAACCACACGCTCCTTCGCTTGTCTCAACGACGTCACTACCGCTGGACTCAGCACATTCCCATTTCTATTACCCTACACAAAAACAAAACAAAAGAGTCAAGTTAGCTTGCGACGCAAGTAATCCGTTTGTGTTTATTTTTCAAGTATTAACTTGTTCATCAAGGCCCTGATGGTGACCAAGACTAGCAGATTCACCACAACCAAACGAGTAAACATCACCATCTTCCGAGACCACAAAAGTAGTGTAATCTCCCGTTGCTACATGAACCGCCTTCACATGGCTTAGACCTTCAACAACTTTAGGCACTGATTCACACTCCTCGTTACCGTGTCCTAAGCAACCGTATCTTCCCCAACCCCAAGTACACACTCTCCCATCTTGACCTACCACTGCTGCATGCCAAGCACCCGCGGCAACCACCCTAGGTTGAAGATTCAATACCTTAAACTGCTCTATAACCCTAGGATACTTCTCATCGGTTTTTGATCCGTGACCAAGCTTCCCTCCCAAACCGCAACCAACCGAATAAACCGACCTAAAAACAACCATATATACTATTGCATCAGAGCTAGTTCTGAACCATGAACCAGGACCGGATCTGAGATTTGGGGCTAATATTAACATCTACTAAATTTTTTTTTTTTTTAATTATACACCTTCACAGAAGTGATCCAGACTAGTCACGTGTTGCCACGTGTCGGTCCTCTGTCCCTGGCGATGCCGAAATGTTAATTCTACAGCAGCCGGGATTCGAACCCAGGTGGCAGTACTCACAACTGTAAGCCTTTTACCACTAGAGCTAGAAGCCCCGGTTACTAAGAATTTAACAATTAAAAAAATTGCATAAATCGGAGCCTATGTATATGTATATAAACTCTAAAAAAATTATAATGTTTTACTGGCCTATGCTCAGATCCGGCCCTGTTTTGGACATGTGCAAATAGTGTATAGAAAGGAACTTACATGCCATTTGGTTGACAAGTCAAGGCAAGAAGGTAGCAATAACCAGCAGCAATCTGCACAACAGGTACATTCTCAAGCGGACCTAACAAAGGACGTGGCTCAACATCATTAGCTTCAGTTTGGTGTCCAAGTCTACCGTCATTGCCCCACGAGAATGTATAAACCTTCCCTTCTCTGGATAGGATAGCTGTGAAGAAGTTCCCTATAGCTACTTGCACAACGAATATGTTCTTTAAAGAAGTCACAAGCTGAGGAGTTGTAACCGGTCTACTCCCTTGCCCTCCGTACTCAGCTTCACCAAACAAATCTTTACCACAAGCGTAGACATTCCCATTATCGCTTATTAGCATTGTCCTACCAGCTCCAGCTGCTGCTTGGATGATTCTGATCCCCTGCAATGATCTGCACAAAAAACACAGACCACACTAAGTGAAACCATGTTCTGTTGTAACACTAAATGAGTGTTGTGCAATGATGAATAATAACCTGATGGGTAAAATGCGAGTTTCTTCATCGGTATGTCCATGTCCTAGCTGACCAGAGTTATTATAACCGAAGGTATAAACTTGTCCCTTTGATGTGACTGCAATGCTGTGACCAAGACCAGCAATAGCTTGAGATTTCTCTCTTCGACAACACGCTTCACCAGCCAGCAAAAACCTAAGTACCAGTTTCCATGACCCTCCGCATCTACGTTTCATCTCTTCACGTTCTTCTTCCTTCATCGGCTTGAAAATCAATCTTTTGTTACACATGTCGAGAGCAGCGAGTTCAGGTAGGGATAAACTACAGTCCGGTGCGAAGTTTGCTGGCTGGCTAAAGAAGGAGCATGTTGCCTAGAAAACAAGAAACATAGAATCAGCAGAAACCATCAGTTCTTTTAAATTTTTTAGTGAAATATTGAGAAAAGAACCTCGAGATTGGCGAGGTCACGAGGATCTAATCTACATTCAGTGAGAACATGAAGGACAATGGAAGGGTTAGCTGCTAAAGGAAACTCTCCAGGAGTTGAGTCTCCAAAGCAGTGACGTTTTTGCTTCTTCAAAGGAGGAGAAGCAACAGGTTGCTCAGGTATGTTATGATACTGTAAACCTGGAGTTCCACTTGTTGTAGCATCCATTGTGAGAACAACAAGTTTATCTATTAACCAAGAGTTAAGACAAAGTCACATTTTGATTTGCCTAAAAATGAGAAAAAATACAGAACAAGACTCTAAATTTACCTGTAGATTATTTATTGTTCAGCAAGTTCTAAAGCTTTTGATCTACAGAGGAAACAAAAACCAGTAAGGATTCAAGTCATGATCATCAAACAGAAAAACAAAGGAAGGAACTTTATGGGTTCTAACAAGAAAAGGTTACTTCTTTTCATGTTGTTAATCAAGAACAGAGCAAACTTTGAAGAGAAGTGTAGTAACAAAGATAAGAGGATTATTCTATGAGAACAAGATGGATCTGATACAAGAGGATTATTCTCCTTCTCCTCTGAACAAGGAAACTCATATTTGACTTTTACCACAAAGATCAAACACAAACCCAGAAATTCAAATCAGTTTTAATTCAAAAACCCATCAGAGGGATCAAAAAAGGAGTAAACTTTTTGAAAACTCATCAGAGGGATAAAAAAAAGGAGTAAACTTTCTGAAAACCCATTTGCATCAAACCATCATCATCAACAAGAACCGAACCTTTGAATTCTTACAGACCGACGAAGAAACTTTCTTAGTTTGGTTTTGTTGTCTGATCAGAGCATAGAAGAAGAGAAAGGGATGTGAAAGAATGTTTTTCTAGAGAATTGACGGTGAAGAAACGGAATCGAATTTTACAAAAGAATTACCGCAAATTTCTCCTTTTTAGTTACAATTTTTTTTAAAAATCCTCGGAAAGTCTGCAAAGTTTGCGTTGAGAGAAGTGAATGAAAGAGGAGGAAAGAAAAGTTGTGGTGTGGTGCCTTTTTATACGGTCTTATTAAGCAAAGATCTCTCTCTATTACAACATTTCTGATGATACATTACATTTGTGTAACTGTATTGTATATGTGGATGCATTATATTATATGAATGCATGTATACATACATACGTGTGCATCCAAAACAGGGGTTTTGAGTGGTGGAACAAGTTATCCTCATCCTTTGGATCTATTACTATTAATTTATTGTTAGCACTCATGAATCCTGACATAGTGTATCACTATGATGACATCCTCTCAAGGTTTTTTTTTCTCTTGTATACACAACTTCTTGAATCCATCTTAATAGTTTGATTTTTCATGTTTCTGTTGTGTATGAAAATGAGTTTAGTGTATGTTTCTGTAACATTAAGAACTAAACAAAATTTTACAAGATGTATGTAAAGCTTGGAAGCAATACCAACCTGGCAAATTACAATACTACGAAGTGCTGCAACTTGTGGCTTCATCTACAAGAATATTCCCATATGAAAATTACATGTGAATATAATAACCAAACTAGAACACTATAGAAAAAGACATGTACAAGAATTGTGAAGGAGGGAGATTAATTATATGGTCTAGATTGCTATAAACATCAAGATAATGTATGTTAGACAAGCGGTTTAAGTTCTGGATTAGTACCGGTTTAACCAGGACTGCTACATCTAGAAGTGGTGGAACTCTTTGACATATGTTCTTGATAGAAAGGATCATCAGAGCCTTGAACTGAACTCACCCTTGGAGGAGAGAAACTCCATTCCTCCTTATGCATTGCCTCTTCTTCCTTGAACTTGATGAAGAAGATGGATGACCAGTAATCTCTCACTAAGTTCTTCAATACCATAAAGAAAAATGAGAGTCAAGAGAATTTAACTTTCACAAGGCGAAGAGAGTAAAAGAGAGAATGCTATTTTTACCATCTTGATCAATTGCATCACTTCATTTAATGCGTTCTTGAAGAGATCAATGTGAGTTAGATCTTGAGTGGTTAAGATCTCTTGCCTGGTTTTATGTGATACGTTCACTTCCATTTCGGCTCCTACATTTTAAAGAACAGATAGTTAGATTCATAGACAGAACAACACCTGAGACCTGTTTTGATGTTAATAAAACCTGCGACGATGAACTTCTCCATGATATGTCTAGCCATGTAGATTCTTCTCACCGAATCACCTTCTGGTATTTTCCCATGTTCATACACTTCTTCATAGAAATGCAACGTTTCTCCAGCATAGCAGCTAACAACATATAAAGATTACTACAACCTTATATATAAAATGTGGAAACATGGGATGGAAAATGAAGGCAGACGTCAAAAGAGAGTGTAGTGTAGTGTACCTATCTGCAAATTCCATAAACGACTTGCGAAACCTTTTATTGAGAAGAAGCTTATCAAGTGGCTCATTTGGATCAACAGGTCGAAACTCCTCTTTACGAAACAGTAATCCACTATCAGGAATGCCTAAAGCTAGTCCCATTCTTGGAAACTCATACTTTTCTCTGTTCTTCAAGCTGATTTGTGAGAGAAGAGGTTGGTGACTTGAGATTGAAAAGAAGACAATGACAAGAATCCCACCCTAACACAAAAACAGAATCAAACTCAAGAAGTCTGTTTTAAAATTCTTTATGATAATGCAGAGAACCTTTGGTAGAGGTTCATTACCGTGACTAAGAGCACAAATCTTGAAGTGACTTGAAGCCAAGAGGTGTCTGTGTGAATCTCATTCAACACAAACGATGTTACCCATATAACGACTGAAGTGGCTGAGACTAGAATCCCTTTCCAGAGATCTCTAAGCTCATCAAAACGAAACTCTACATGACGTATAGCTCTTGTGAATGCAAGTAAAGCAAGGACGTATAGAGCATGTAGGCCTGCAACTGGGAAAGTCCATTCAAGTCCCATGTGGCATTGAGAATCCAGAGGCTTTTTTGCATGGATAACTAAAAGCAGAATCAAAAAGATTGTGAGACCAAAAGAAAAACAAAAAACACTATTAAATCAATCTAGAGAGGATTGGGCTAGTTAAGATTTATTCTTACTTGACAAATATAAAGTATAGTTGACAAGATTCTTACTTGTAGCTCCAAAGATCCATGGTAATAAAACAAGTGGAAGAAAGATGTATGATTTTACAGGAGGTAGACGTTTCCTACATGATCAGGAAGAAACACTATTAAACCAATCTAGAGAGGATTTGGACTATTTAAGATTTATTTCTTACTTGACAAATATGAAGTATAGTTGAAAGGCCTGAGTTATACGGCAGCTCATAAGCAAACCGAATCCAAGTGGTCCTTCCACCCACACTAAAACCAAACATTACATTGCTCAAACTGTTACAAGGAAAGGAACAACTTGTTTCAGGAACATATTGTTACAAACAAACCTGACCAGAGGTAGCAATATTGCAACCAATTCTTCGACTTGATCTTAAGTAAATTAATTGACATCTGTGAATAACAAACAACAGTGAGTTTCTTTTTAAAACATTACTGTAGAAACTAGTCCTTAGGCATATTGGTAAACCATTCTCCGGAGAGAGAATGTGAAAGCCCGGTGGCCACGCGTCGTAGAAATCTGGTGTGGTGCGGATTCGAACTCGGGTCCCTTTAGAGATCCACGGAACGCCTTGACGACCCGACCACAGACGTGTGGTTGTCCTTAGGCATATTATTAAAAAAAAGGGATAGAACCGAACCAAAAAACCTAAACCGAACTAGGACTGAAAATTACAAAAACCCCAAACAGTTCCTATTTCTCTATACTCGAAAAAACAAAACAGAACCAAACCGAGACTCGAATAACCCAACCCGACCCGAATGGCCAGCACTAGTAGAAACTCTACGTATCAAGTGATACTGAAAGGCCAATCGATTAAATGATCAAAAGTTGTCTAACCACAATAGAGAAGAGAAGGTTGAAGCTGGAGAAGATTTGAATGACAGGGATCCAGAAACTGCTACTGTTATTACGAGGAGCTTTGTGTATTAAACATGGTAAGACCGATCGTGACAGAAGCCTGGTAATAATATAAACAAGTGAATCAAAGCAAATATAATCAAATAATATTGAAACTGAAAAAAAAGAGAGAAGCTAACTAAGATAAAGATTCACTAAAACTGCCACTAAATGAAGATTATTAACTGGCTTGGACATAACATCGAACATTTAACGATTAAACCCCAAACATTCTACATCGAAAAATCAATACTTTATAGTCATGAAGACGACCAAGTAAATCGATTAGCTGTAAAACCGAGAAAAAAAACGATTCTGAAGTGAAGAAAGTCATCGCAAGAAGGAAGGTACACGAAGAAGCAGATGACTGCAATTGAAACGGCGACGTAATCGCTAGGACAACCACCTCGTTTAGCACATCCACTTGACATTGCATATCACAGCTCTTTCTCCTCCACTCGATTCTTGTGTTTTTGTTTGTTTGTTTGAGGTTTTCTCTTGTCTGAGAGTTCAAAGGTTGTTGCTTTAATGTCAATAAAGAAGTTACATTTATCGAAGCTGGGATTTAGAAAACAAAGAAAGTTTTCGAGTTTGAAAATTCGCACGACCAACGACGTTTCTGTCTCTGTCTCACCATTGTTCACGTTTCTGTTTCCCAGCTGACCTTTTTGACCACACAAAAGACTTCCTCCTCCCCTAACACTTAGTGTTTTGCCCGCACTTGCGGGCTTAATAATTTTACTAATATCTATAAATAAATATATAATCAATTTATATAAATTATAATAAATGATAGTGACTCAAAATATTTAATAATAAACTAAACAAATTCTTTCTATATATAAAATTTTTCATCATCTTATAAATAATTTTCATTACACAACTTATATTTGAAAATACTCATGAACTTAACACATATAGTAATAAATTAATATCATTTTTAGACATAACAAAAATGTATAAAAAATTATCTTTAATAATGTTTTGGATAACAAAATATAAATTATCTATACATAAATTCTTTGTGAATTGATTTTTCATAATTAACTATATATTAACAAATAGAATTATTTTTTAACGTTAATAAAGACTTTATAACGTAATATAAAAAAGTTAGATAAAGATAATTATCAAATTCATGAGATTCATTTTTTAATTTAGAATTAATTATATGTTAAGAAATATAATTATTTTTCAAGGTTGATAAAGACTTTATCACATAATATAAAAAAATTAAATAAGGATAATTATCAAATAAATGAAATTCGTTTTTAATTTATAATTAATTATAAATTAACTAATATAATTATTTTTCAAGGTTAATAAATACTTTATAATCCAATTTAAAATAGTTTTAGATAAAGATAAAGTTAAAATCATTGAAATTCGTTTTTTATTTATGTTTAATATATTTTTAAGATAACAATCTAATACAAAAGAATTAACATATTTTCTAAAAACATAATATTCTTAACATAAATTTGTTTTTATTATATAATAAATTATTAAAATATGAAAATAAGCAAAATAACCTAAAATCATGGAGAAGTTGACAACTAAGCAAATTTACTTCTCAAATAATGTTATAGATTTATATATTAAATTAGTAATATTTATATATTAAAATTAAATAGTATTATTTATATATTAAAATTAATTTAACCTTTTTTCTCAAAAAGTTTAAAATAAAATAGTAATAATAATGTATGCAAACAATTATTGTTATTTGACATTCATACAATTATATTATTACAATTTATCGATGTATTATAAACATGAATTAACGGTTGATAATTTTATCCATCTTGACAATAATAAAAAACTAAACTATAATCTACGTTCTTCCGAATAGAAAAATTAAACCGGAAACATAGAACCGACATAAAACATAGCTGAAAGAGAATATCTAACACCATGTGCAAGCTTTTTAAACCATGAGATTTTCTGTAACATTTTCTTCTCTATAATATTTTTTTCTCTTCATAATATTTGTAATTTGTATTTTCTGGATTTTTGGTGTAAAAATATTAAAGAATCATCTTAAAAGCTTTTGTGTACCAACAAATCTAATATTGTACATGTTTATCCAAGTGGTTGGTAGTCAAATTGTACATGATTTAACATTGTCACAGAAAAGCATTATACATATGGTAAATTTTTAAAAATATACATATTTTATCAGAGAAGTTTGCTTAAATAACTACTGCTTCAAATTATAAACATGGTTTTCATTTTTTTTTTTGTACATTTCATTTCCACGGCTAATACATTTCATTCCAAGCCTCACAAATTCACAATACATAACCAATTTAACAAACAGACCCGGTTTACATCACTAAACCGGATTTTTATAATCAAAGAACATGAAGAAAAGGCTGGATCACACTAGGATTCACAGAAGCAAAATCAAGCAACTCTCTATCCTCTTCAAAAAGCTTCATCTCTTCCTCATCCAAATTCACCCAAGCTTCAATCCCACCACCTTCTTTAGTATCCAAAAGCGCCACTATATTCTTCTGTCTAACCGAAGGAAACGCAAACCAAACCGGTTCACCCCAACCAAAATCAATTTCATACAAACCAAACCGGCACGCACTCGTCAATATATAAAAATCAAAACTCCCACTCGCAATCATTTCCCCCGCTTCTCTCTGGTAGTCACATATAATCTCTGTTACATTAGGGTTTCCTAAAAGCTTCGGTATATGATTATCTCGAAACCTCTGTTTCGCCTTCCTTATCTCCGCAACCAAAGTCTCAACCTTTCTCTGTTTCTCTCCTTCCTCTGCTTTCGCCGCAAAGTAGCTCACGAGGTTCCCTATTGAATTCTCTGTAAAAGGAGGAGAGACACGAGAGCGTAAGCTAGCGGAGCTCGCGAGAATCGAGGGTTTCGAAGTTTTCGAAACCCTTCTAGTTGCTTTCATCGCAAGTTTCCATATAAGAGCTGAAACAGCTTCGACTCTGGTGGGTTGAGTGACTTCAAAGCTTGAAGCTTTGGCTTGCAAAGCTTCTATACTCCAAGAATCGAATACGAATCTCTTCGAAAGAGTTTTGTTCATCATGATCTCCGGCTCGACGACCGGAGCAGGGGAGGAATCAGAGAAGTTTCCAGGTGGGAAGTTCTTGAAAGTGTCGAAAACAGGGGAACCAACGGTTTTGATCGATCCTTGGGATGAGATTGCTGACCAGCTCTTCATGAATAGCCCCACGGAGGTTGCGTCGGTGAGTTTGTGAGAGACGCAGACTCCTATGGACATGCCTCCGCATTTAAAGAAGGTTGCTTGCGCGAGAAGTAATTTGGTTTTTGCTTCTATTGAATCAACTGGTGTGGGGATGAGCTGTTCTAAGATCTCTGAGGAAGGTTTTTGGAGGAGGTTTGAGAGAGGTGAGTTAACTTGTGCTTCAAGGAAGTCGGCGCCCGAGTCGTTGCAGTTGATGCTTATGTTGCCGTTGAGCCGTCCAGCGAGAGGGTAGAAGTGAGTTAAGGTTTGGGATAGGGAGTTTTTGAGGTCTTGGAGTTGTTGAGATGGTTTGATTGTGTTGTTGGCTGAGTAGAAGAATAGCATAGGGCCGAAGATTGTTGGACCGAGCTGTTCTAGAAGAGAGAGTTTGAAGTTTTTTAAGTGGTTTGGTGTTGGAGATGAGGGTTTGATTATGTCTCTGGAGATTACTTCAACTCTTGGAAGACTTTTCTGGTGAAATCTTCTGATGAAAGACCGAGCAAGAGTCATGGTAGAGAGTTTTGTGTCTTAGGGTTTCTGTTTTAGGTGTTGTAGATGAAAGAAGGGTTTTTTTTAAAGAGAGAAGATCCAAAGATTCTTGCAGGAAAATGCCAATAGAAACTGTACACTAAAAAACAAAACTGTTTCCAGAATGAGATCATCACAAAACATATTTAATATTAGCGTAATTTATTTCACCTAAACTTAAATGACTTTCAGACAATAGAAACATTGTGTCTTACATGAACAGAAGTATACAGAGACTAATCAAGAACTGAAAGAGGACAAACATATGGCTAACATCTCTCACACTGTTTAAGAGATTGGTCTATGTATCTCTTAGCCAACTTGGTGTTAGTCTTAGATAAAGAAAAAAACTTCAAGAAAAGCTCATACACAAGTTGCTCAAGTGAGGCCACACAAAGATCCATGGAAGGCTCTTCTTCCTCCTCCAGATCCAAAGCATCAATAACTTTATTTTCACATAGGTTGAGGATTCAGTGTTGTGACTATATTAATCCGAACGACTTCTTGAATAACCAATTCGCTAAACTTTGCATTGGCAGAGTTCACCTAGTCTCCAAGCTCCATCAATGCCTGCCTCTTAATATCCTTTTTTACTTGATTTTCTTTGTTGGATCCGTGAAATCAAACATTGCACAGCACAAGTTCAACTTCTTGACGAACAAGGTTTGCTATTTAGTGTTTGACACATTTTTAATTAGCCTTTTGTAAGTTGGTTAATCACGCATGAAGATAGATATCTACATAATATAATTGTTTTTCTATTGCTAAATTTGTTTATAGCCCTGTTCTTTTATAAGACGCTGCGATCGGTAGTTGCGTCAACTAATTACGCTTAGGATCGGTAGCTGCGTCAGAAAACATCAACCGCCAACAAATTCCCAAAACAGAAAATGCAGAGATCGCCAACGCTGTTATTTCCGGCGTCAGATTTATCCACTTTTGTTAGCCGCAGCGGCTAAAAAAGAAGCAGTTTTGTTCCCGTCAGTCGTGAATTTGTCATGGGAGTAGTTGTATTTTCTGGACGCTGACTCTGATCGCAGCGTCAGAGAAACGAACAGGGCTTATGTCTCAACCTCATGGTACAATACTATTAAACTAGGTGTTGACCCGCGCCCTGCGCGGGGTGAGATTATTTTGACTTTGATCGAAGAATAATTTGGTATATTAATTTGTTTAACTAAAAATAGGTAGTGGATGTGAATTAGTAATTAAAATAATAAGCATATAATGAGATATTAGTATAGCTGCGAAACGAAGTATTGATTCATAGCTATTTGTTTTCACTTTTTGTCTTATATATCTATTTGTCTTATAGATACATGATGATACACAAAAATTAAGAAATCGTCTACTTAAAAAAAAGTAGTAAATAAATTAAAATAATAAATATCATAATAAAACATAGAGAAACAAAACATG